AATATTTTAAAAGACTTTTTAAATAGGTTGTGCCTGTTCTTACAATGTGGTACATTAACAATCTTCCCTTGTGTTTTCTTTTAGCGGATGTAAATTGCTTGAAGGGAAGGACACTGGAATGTCTAATGGAGCTAGACATTTTCAGGGAACATATTACATTTTTTAAAAATCCTGTTAGGTAGCCTTGGTTGAACTAAGTATACAGCACGTAATGAGCAGGTAGTGTTAAATAAATTAAGCGTTAAGATAAGTGGTATTACACTGCTTAATTTTAAAGGCACTGAGGCATCAAAGCCAGAACTGAGAATTTGTGAGTACCATGTTTGATTGAGGACTGACTTGAGGTCAGAAACTTTCATCTAGTTGTTGAAAATTGTTGTTAATGTTTGTATAAAATTTTAGAAAAATGTCCTAGTCTTAGCACACGTTTTGCCAACACTGCTCTAAGGTAGGCTTTTCGGTACCTGTCTTTCTCTCTGTTTAAAATTGTTACAACAAACGGTAGAGTTTCACCCTTCCAATCCTCATCTACTCATGTACTTATTAATAGAACAATTTTATGCAATACTCTTATTGTATTTGAGGATTAAATGTGAAACAACCAGTAAAGTGTTATTCCAACTGTGGATATGAACAAGCCATAATTATCTCGATTGATACTACTGTCAGAAAAGGATCCACTTAGTACAAAGAAAATAAAAATAATAAAACAATAAATACTGTCAAAGGTAGAGTTGTTATTTAAAATATATCACCCTCACACACAAGAATATGGAAAAGAAATCTTAAATCAATGACTCTTTGCTATCTACTCTACAACAATTGAAGGAATGGAGATATACAAAATGAGTTTTATCCTAAACATTAAAATTGAAGTTAATAATTTTCAGAACTCGATCAGTATGGACCTCTAGGACCTCCTCTGCGAATTGGTCCTCTTTCTCTATCCATGGGTGCTCTCATTGGGCTTGTGATAGAGATGTCCATGTAATCACCAATCTGGAATCTATAATACAATACATTAGATTGATAGAGATACAGATTGAATAAAGTTAAACATTAAACTGAAACCTGCCTGCAATTAGTTAGGGTTTTATTGTCATCTGTCCCTTTTACACCAGATGTAGTGGTGCCAATGTGGCGCATGCGGAAGCTCACAGGTCCTGGACCCATATTGGGAGCAACAAGACTGAAGTCAAAGACAGTTCCCTTCTTGCGTGCATCTGGATTGACTTCTTTCATTAAACTTGTGATCTCTCTGAGTGTAGCGTCCATCCTGCAACAGAGCAAAATTAAGAAAGTGGTCTTCGCCTCTGAAATCAGAGACAGCGTTCAGAACATAGACAAGACATGCGCACCAAGTGTAGATCTGCGATTCGTTGGCTGGCACATTTCCTCGGACATAGTCTTCGGGGGAGTTGTGTCGGCCCGTGCGGCAGAAAACGCGGAGCAAGAGAGGGCAGGTCTGTGCAAACAGCAAAAGCATGCAGTTTAACTGAGAACATCATAACCCTACTTCTACATATCAGGCATTTAACACACAACGACCGAATGCAACTCGCTTTGTCAACTGGTTGATAGAACAGACTCGACAAGATCACTGAACTATAGTCATTAACACAAGAATAATCTAATAGTTGTTACCTTTTCCCTGTCAACGGGCTTCTCGCCGCCCTCCGGTTTGTCGATGATGTACGACTCCACAGCGAGCCCGGCCATGACCATAAAGAAGTTGAGTTTTCCACAAGAAAAAGGTACTGGGAAATAATGAGAGTGAGCTTGTTGCTCGGTCGTCAAATGACACAACGAACTGCTCAAATAGATCCCTCAGTTGATCAGGAAATAACTGGCATTTCTATTCTAACTTGCGTTGTTTACCACCCACCACCGCACCGCTGCTGCTGATGTAAGTATGGAAAAAAGGGCAGAACACAACACAACAAAATTGCACAAGGCATGAAAAATTTCTACAAGAGTAGCAGGTTGTGGCGTGGCGTGGCGTAGTGTGGCGGTAGAGTAGACACACAACACCGCATGGGAAACAAGAACAATATACCTGAACTCTACAATTTCTGTTCTCTCAGTTCAACGACAAAATGTTGACCACAAAAACTTTTTTAAAGAAGACAAAACGGGGAAATATTTTGAAGGTATAGTGAACTTTTTTAGTGACTTGTCACCGGAGAGAGGTGGAGACGCCTCGCCGTAGGTTATGATGGGTCTCAAAATGTAAACATTTTGAATTTTCTTGGCTTGTTAAGTGTTTATGTGATGATCCCGTCCTATTTATTCGAATGGTTGGCAAGATTTGTGAATTTTTGAAAAGTACTTAATCTTCCTGGACCTCCTATTTCGTCCTCGTATGACTTTGTGGAGTCATACTGTTTCTCAAGTTAAAACCCTAAACATTTGATTTAGTTATATTTACTTTGTTACGCAGATTGTTCGAGAACACTACCTCCGTGATGACATATGGTGTGGCTCAGTTCTGTGCAAGACATGTTCTATGAAAGAAAGAGAAAAGACTCTTGAAAAGGATCTAGATCATAGTTCCAGTCTCTTCTCATTCCCTCACTACTTGGTGCTGGACACCAATATTGTATTGGATCAGGTACTTGATGTGGTTTCATGATGGTTTCATGTTGTACAATTCTCAAAGAGAGATTCTCAATTGCAACAGTGCGAATGTAATTAGCTGGCTAGTGTTTAAAGAATGCTAGTGAGCTCTGCTACTACCTTCTCACCCTGTTAACGTTGGCGCTCCAGCGTTCTTTCCATGCTAGCGTCACCCATACACTTGCAGTGTTTTGATAGTAAATCCACTTTCACCTACAACTAAAATTATTGTTTGTTTCTAGATTGATGTACTGGAAGAAAACAGTTTTGAAAATGTAATTATTTTACAAACAGTTCTAGAAGAAGTAAAACATCGTAGTTCTCCAGTTTATCGGCGTTTAAAAGATATCATCTCTAATCCTGATAGAAAATTTTATGTCTTTGTAAATGAGCATCACAAGTAAGAAAATCAGTGTTTTTAATGTATTAAACTGAACGTAGATTCGTAGAAACTACTAATTACTAATGTTGATGTGCAGAGATACTTATGTTGAGCGTAAAGCTGGAGAATCTGTCAATGACAGAAATGACAGAGCAATTCGAGTTGCAACTGCATGGTATGCCTCACACCTTGCACCTAGTCAGCCAAAGGGAAAGAATAAGCATGTGAGCATTGTTCTTCTTACTGATGATGCTGCAAACCGTCAAAAAGCCAAGGACGAAGGACTCATCTCTTGCTCTGGTTGGCACATATTTATCACTGTTTTTGTTTTTTGTTTTTTTGTTGTTTTTTTTTTCATATAGTTGTAAATTATTATGTCCTGAAGGAAATTCATCTATATTGCATTTGTTTGTTTTTTATGTCACAGTGCATGACTATGTAAGCTCTTTGGAGAATGCCCCTGCCTTACTCGACAAGTTGTCAAAGAGAAATTTTGTTTTGGAAGGCAATTCAAAAGAACCCTTATTTCCACTTCATCTATCTCCTAAAGAAATCCAAGATGGTATAAAAGCTGGTAAACTTCTACAAGGCACATTCCTTGCCTCCCGAGAAAATTTCCTCGAAGGATCAGTGAATGTGGAAGGTTATGAAAAGTTTGTAGGTATCATTTTAAAGTATCTGCTCAAAGATTTTATCTCTTTACATTCGGATGATATCTTTAACATTTGATTTTTTAGATTCTGGTCCAAGGACATGCTGGCTTGAACAGGGCGGTAGATGGTGACACAGTAGCCTTAGAACTCTTGCCAGAAAGTGAATGGGTTGCCCCGAGTGATATTGTGTTGGAAGATGCTGAAGAAGATCCAGGTTCAATTATTTTGCACATGAACAATTACTTTAACCAATCGCATTTATGTCTAGTACTAACTTGCTCTCTTTTCATGTTCAGGAGACATATTGGATGATGAAGCAAAAATGGAGAAAGAAAAACAGAAGGCTAAGAAGGTGGAAAGAGAACCTACAGGCAAGGTTGTGGGAATCATCAGGCGGAAATGGAGGCAGTACTGTGGGATCCTGCAACCGAGTCAAGACAAAAATGTGAGAAACAGTAATAAATATCTAATAGGAAAATTTAGTGTCATGACTTTAACCACCAGGTATGGTTTTACAGAGTATTCGACATTTATTCATGCCTGCAGAGCGCAAAATTTCCAAGATTCGTATTGAAACAAGACAGGCTGAAACTTTAAAGTCCCAGCGCATCATAGTAGCTATTGACTCCTGGCCAAGGACGTCAAGATACCCCTTGGTAGGGTTTTCTTTAATTTGAATATTGGTTAATAAATGCAAATGACTTGGTCTAACTAAAATGTTTTCATACTTTGAAGGGCCACTTTGTCCGGGCTCTCGGGAATATTGGCGACAAGAATACAGAAAATGAAGTCCTCTTGCTGGAACATGATGTGCCCCACAGTAAATTCTCAGAACAAGTTCTCAGCTTTCTTCCAAAATTGCCGTGGGTGATTACAGATGCGGTAAGTATATTTTCTCTGCAAGCCTTAACAAGTATTCACTCACAAGCTAAGATGGATCGTCCATTGTGTACAGCTCAATATCATTGTTATTTTGAGGTGGAGTTAGACTATTTCCATTCTGGTTTTCTGCCACTCCAACTCCTATTCTTGCTGCTGCTGAAGATGCAGCAACCAATCGGGGCATAATAGCATTTATTGGCAGATTATCATGTGTTCCAGGATGCTGAATATCACTAAACAAGGCCTAAAATATGAAACATCTATTAAATGTACTGTAGAACTAAAAATGTGTTAAATTTTGTGTCTTCTAACCACAATGAATTTTTGTTTGTACCTGCAAGATCGATCTGCGTTCTGGTGTGTTAGGAGTTGGTGGACTGGTGTTAAGATTGTTTTGCCTCTGTATGTTTGGTATGGCTGACGTATTGTTGGGGATCAGGCTGCTGCTCGCAGACCCAAAAGTGCTTGGAGAAGATGTCCTGCTGGAGCCTTCACTGCTGGTCTCCCCTGTAAAAGCTGGTGCCAGATTTAAGCTGAAGGGCAACGTTGCTAGGGGCACGATAGGCAGAGACTGATTTGTTTCCTGTTGGCAATAGAAAACAATGACCACCTTTCTTCCATGGGGATTAAGGGTAATTATTTTGTCATCAGATTTTTTCCACCTGAGTGTTGTTTGTTACTGGTACTCTGACTGGTTTTTCATGATGCTTGTTCCTCCATCGCTGTAAGCGGGTTCCACCATTGGCTGACAACCGCCTCAGAGCAAGGCTCACTGGTTTGGATTCTTCAACTGCTGGTAGCTGTACTGGATGGTTGCGCAGCTGATTGAGCTTATTGGAAGCCAGGGTGTGCAAATAATCGAGAGCTTTCTGCTTCCCCTTTGAAAAGAAGGATGAATGTTCAAGGGTCTGCCAAGAGTCTTGATTTTAGAAGCTATTGAAAAGTGGCTTACCTTTATATCATGCATAAAACTCTCAATCACATCTTGCTGATTAGAACTTTTAATTTTTTCCCAGCGAGACAGCAAGGTTTTGTCGTATAAAGAAATATAGTTTTCCATCTCTTTAACTTCTGTTGGTTTGAAAAAAATTGCTGTCATCATCAAATTTTGTTGTAAGGGCAGCCTATTGGGTTACTCTTTCACTCACCCTCTTCCTTTAGTTTCACAAGTGTTTTTTCCACCGTATTGCATTCTTTTCGCACTGCTTTTCTTTGATTTTTCACTTGCTGGATTCGGAGGCGAGCAGCTCTTGCTTCTAGGTATAGAGTACGCAGTTCAAGTGCCTTGGAGTCTAGTGAACTCTGCAGCTTGCTGTATACCGGGAGAGAGACATCCATGTCAGATTGCTCTTTTCTTGTTGTTTTTTATTGTTATTTATTTTTTGTGGTGTTGTTGGATTATGGTTGTTTTTTTGGTGTTTTTTTTTTTTTATTTACTTTTTACGCAAGGACTGTACCTGGGGTAGTTGTAAATGAGGTTGTACAGGTCTTTTGTAGAATGTATGTAATCCAACAGTCGGTCCAGCTGTTCGCAGAATGGCCCCAGATCTTTCACCTTGAACTTGCGTTCCGCGCTTTCCAACGGATCGGTAAACCTGGAACATGTCGACTCAGGCGTGCTGCTGCTGCTGCTGCTGCTGCTTCCCCTTACTGGTGTGGGTTGGGCCCAAGTGACCACCCTTAAGGCACGGGACTCACAGGCAGCCGGAGGACGCGGTGCTGAGGACGCTGTCGCTGTCGGTGGCACCGGGCGATACGGCCGCGGCCTCCGAAGCGGTCCTGCGGGGCGCTGGTGGCTCCTCTCCGGACTCCTGCTCAGTTCCGCCGCCCGCCCCCGCGCCCGCACCTCTGGTCCGGAGCGGCACGCTACCCTCGCTTCCTCGGCGGCCGGCCCCGGAGGCCCCGGAGGCCCCGGAGGCCCCGGAGACCCCGGAGCCAGCACGCGCCCGCCCCAGCACCCGCAGCCGTACTCGGCTCAGGATCTTATCCAGTAGCGGCGGGGGCTGGTGGTGGCCGGCGCCCGGGGGCGGGGGCGTCCCCGCGGCCGCTGCACTGCTGCTCGTGCTCGGCCCGCTCGGTGGTGACGTGCCGTGGTCCATGTTGTTCTCCACCGCCCCTCGCCCACGCTAGTGCCGCCCCCCGCCCCAAGGCTGAGCCGCCCCCGCGGGCCGTGTCGGCCCGGTCCGGCCCGTGGTGTCCATGAGAGTGGAGTGGAAGGGACCGCGGGTGGGGCTGGCGGGGCCGCCCACTCCACCAGTACTCCCCGCGACCACAACAATGCACAGCGCAGGGCACTTTGCTCATTTTGGGTTTTATTATAGTTTGTAAGACTCTTATGTTTCTTGTAATTTTTTCTTAAAACAATAATGGTGTGACATTTCTGGAACACACATCAACTTACCAGCAGACACAACAACGTTTTTTTTGTGTCTTTTTTACAATAATATTACTTTTGTCCATAATTATTTTTTATCACTATATTTTGGCTTTTTCCAGGACCTGGAGAGGCGCGTGGATCTGCGGAACATCACCATATGTTCGGTAGACCCCCCCGGCTGCACCGACATCGACGACGCCTTGCACTGCAGGGAACTCGAGAACGGCAACTATGAGGTTGCTATCGTCTTCCCGAAATTTACCTGTTCTTGTGAGGTCCCTTTTTGTCATTGTCATTTTTGTCATGTATCTTAGGTGGGTGTTCACATCGCTGATGTCTCACATTTCATCCGACCTGGTAATGCTTTGGACAAGGAGGCTGCTCTACGAGCCACAACAGTTTACTTGGTAGACAAAAGAATTGACATGGTCCCTGGTAAGCTAAGTACAGTCTAGTTCTGTTTCAACATACTTCTTTTTAATTGACACTTTTCTCTAACTGAATCCTTCTTTTTGAACAGAACTACTGAGTTCCAATTTGTGCTCATTGAGGGGCAATGAAGAACGGTTTGCATTCTCCTGCATTTGGGAGTTGACAAAGGATGCCACAATAGTCAATACCAAATTTCACAAAAGTGTAATTTGTTCAAAAGCAGCTTTGACTTACGGCGAAGCCCAAGCTAGGATTGATGATAAGACACTAAATGATGATGTTGTTAAATCGCTAAGGGGATTGAATTCCTTAGCTAAGATTCTTAAAAAGAGAAGAATAGAAAATGGGTAAGTTTTTGACGTGATAAAATTTGATTCTAATATACAATTTATTTTTCTCATGGCCCATTTATCACAATCAAATGGTTTAGTGCTCTTGTTTTAGCCTCACCTGAGATTCGATTCCAAGTTGATAGTGAAACACATGATCCCATAGAGGTAGTAGCAAAGAAGATGCTTGAAACAAATTCAATGGTCGAGGAGTTCATGTTGTTAGCCAATATTTCAGTTGCTCAAAAAATTGTTGAAGAATTCCCTGAGTGTGCAATGCTTAGGAGACATCCACAGCCTCCTCCTACCAACTTTGAACCTCTTGTGAAAGCGGGTCACCTGCAAGTATGTATTACTCTTACTACCATAATTTCTATTCTTTTAAGGAATTCCTGTTTTAATGTTTTTGAGCCCACAGGGTTTTGAGATTAATGTGGAATCTGGAAAGGATCTGGCGGAATCCTTGGACAAAGCTGTGAAGTCTGACAATCCCTACTTCAATACCATGTTGCGAATCATGGCAACACGTTGTATGATGCAAGCTGTGTATTTTGCTAGTGGAATGCTACAGAAGGATGAATTTTTCCATTATGGCCTGGCTTGTCCTATTTACACTCATTTCACCTCACCTATTAGACGGTAAGAATATATTTTATACTAGTTGTACTTCTAGTTTTCAACACAAATTCTGCCATTTATCATTATAATTATTTAAAGGTATGCGGACATTATTGTGCATCGACTTTTGGCTGCCTGTATTGGAGCTGACTCAACATATCCTGAACTGCTAGATAAGCGTAAAAGTCATTCCCTGTGTCATAATTTGAATTACCGAAACAGAATGGCTCAGTATGCAGGTCGGGCTTCAGTAAACCTCCATACTCATGTAAGGCTCAGCAATAATTTGGGACTTCATAGTTTGTTATGGTATGTTAAACTGACTATAATCCATTTGTTTCTATTTCAGCTATTCTTTCGAAACAGAGTTCAAGATGAACAAGGATATGTTTTATATGTTCGTAAAAATGCACTTCAAATCCTTATTCCTAAATATGGTCTTGAAGGTACTCTTTATCTTGCACCACCTAAGGGACAGATTGCCAAAGTTAATTTCACATATAATGAAGAGGTAATGGGAACTCTTGCTTTCTAAAAATATGTGTCCTATAAAATAAACTGTTATTGTGGAATAAAATAATCAAATATTTTTTTCTAGGAACAAAGTCAGAGTCACGGATCAATTAAATTCAGAGTGTTTGATCCAGTCACAGTTCAGCTAAGCTTAGACCGCAGAAATGTGCAACATGAAAAGCTCATGCTCCTGCTTGTAAAACCTGAGGTAAGCTTTGCTAAACAGGCAATAAACTGTCATGGTGTGCTCAGACAATAATCAATAAACTACTTATAATTGCAGATTCCAGAGTTTAGTGTCCCATCTCAAGCAGGGTCACAACAAGTTGAAGCAATGGATGTAGATGAGGTAAAGGACGTAGCTCCACCTCCTAAGAGACAAAAGAAATCTAAGTAATTTTATTAATAATAAAATTTATAATTATCATTGAACGAACTCTAGAATTGAGCACTTGTATTGTGTGAGACTTGTGATCACACTTTTCCTTACTTTCTGTTTTTAACTTAATTACTTGTTTCCCTTCTTATTGTGATTAGAAAATGAGCTCAAAACAATGAAGAGAAAAACAGCATTAAAATTACTTAAAAATTTATTAAATCACAGATGACGAGCTATCAACTCATGTAGGACATTATACTTGGGTGATAGCTTTTTAACAGATTCCTTGGCCCTATGCGCTAGTGTTTTGCTGGGGAAAAACTTGATTCAGAAGCTCATATTTCTGAAAATTTGTTGTTACATTTACCATACTCCTCAACATTATTATGTACAAGCTTGTAACTCTGTCCTTTGTATTATAAAACCTTAGCAGATTAATCAACCATCACAGAATTGAGGTATTAGAGTAGAAGGACAAGCCCTCTAATCAGAACATTTTAACAATTAGGAAGGAACATTTGAAAGTCAGTGGAAACTTACAATATGGTGATTTAGGATTGAATGACAGTGCTCCTAATTTATTTAAATAGTAATGATTTTCAGGCAAATGATGCTTTTCTTTGTGATTGTCGTTTTGATGGAGGAACCAAATGATCAGGAAGCTGTTGTGGGATGTCATGGCCATCTACTTTCACCTTAACCAAATGCATAGCCAATGCAAACTCATCCGCATCCAGTAGACCATCTCTATCAATATCGGCTAAATGCCAAATGCGGCTTAAAACTGAATTGGGAAGTTTAGATTTTAATAATTCTTCTTTAGCAGCTGAAAAATGCATTGACGGTTTTTAAACAAAACCAATGAGAGTAATTAGAAAGATAAAAAGCTTCAAAATAGGAATAGAAAATACTTACCAGATCTTGTAAGTTTACCTCCCACTTGCTCTAGAGTATTGAACAATTCATCATACTTTGGTTTGCTCTTGGCAACAATCCATTCTAAATCGCCATGGCCTGCCAGGGCTCCTTCATTACGTCCAAAGCCAAATGGGCTTTCACGGTCATCTACATTTTCAAAAGCTCCACCTGATTAAAAGTTCAATATTGGGAGTTAAAGTGTTTGACACATTTCCTTAAAAGGTGGTACTGTAAACTATTCATTCTACATCCCACCTGATACAGTGTCTGAACTGGCAAACTTCTCTTCTTGAACTGGCATGAGAGACATGATACGAGTGATATCTGTAGCCAACATGTCGTCTACTGTTCTAATGAGTTCTTCATCCAGCAATTCAAACTTGCCAAAGTCATGCAATTCCAATTGTTCCTGTAAGTAATTTTGAAAAATTGCATCACTGAAATGCGGCAATTTAAAATTCATCATAAGGTAAATTTACTCAAAAGCTGGAGTACCTGCATAAATCTAATATCAGGGAAGTCACCTGGTGCAATTTTTAGTGACCACTGAAGTTGTTCAAATATTTTGGGCAAATTATTAATGAGTTCTTTTTTTTTAGAATCTTTCCCAAATATCCTAGGCATTTCCTTGGCTAAAGCACCAATAATGTAGGCATGAACCTGCAAAAGGTATTATGAGCCTCAAAATGAGAGGAATTATTTGAGAGGTAATGATTGACAAAATGTCCTTCAGTACCTTGGCAAGACGTGCTCGTTTACTCAAGTCATTGAGCTTTCGCAATTCAGCATATTCTGGTAGAGACCGCAGGTCTCTAAATAGATCTTCTTTTTCATCATCAAACAGTCTAAAAAAAAAATTGCTCCGTACTTAAATCATTATTTTTAGATTATCATTATCTACCCTAATAGATTAAAATTACTTACTTCCGGTTCATATCATTTTCAAGAGGATTGTCCCAGAATGATCCAACATATACCCGTGATACCTCAGGAGTGGTAAATACTTTTCCAAGAGACCACATAAGAGCCCCATAAACTCTCATGAGTTGTTGGTGATTGATTTTGTCTGCTTTATTTAATAGAATGCGAATTTTGTCTTCATGGCCATGTAATGCCTTAAGTGAGCGTTTAAACTCATCAGATATGTCCAATTTATGAGCATCAAACAGGAGAATGATTCGGTCAACTCTACCAGCAAACCACTCAAGGACACCACTAAAGTCATAACCACGGTCAACCCTTTGCTTTTCACCAGAGAGGATGCCTGGTGTATCTATCAAAGTCATACCTGATAAAACAGGTGAAGGAACAAGAGAACATTGAAAACGCTTCAAAAATGGATTTCCAAATTTCGACAATTGATTGAATTGTCTTGAAGAGTCAACAACTAAAGCATTGCCAGGTATTACTCCTTCACGTTCACCCTTCATTAATACAATGAATTTGTCTGTTGTGGGCTCTGGGCCAATTGACATTCCTGGAAAATCCCTTTCCAAAAGAAAACGGATGAATGTTGTTTTGCCTGTAGAATATTGTCCCATAAGCAGGACAATGGGTTTTGCCTCAAAATCAGGGGCATTAAGTTTAGGTCCATGGAAATCATGGAATAGATACTTCTCCTCTAGAGGCAAAAGTTTGCTGTCATAGATTTTCTTCAGTCCTTCTGATATGCTTGTATATTCCGAACTACTTTGGAACCATCTGGAAAAAAGAAATAATCCAAAAGCACAGGTGACAACATTGCAGAATTAGTGAAACCACAGAAAATAAGTTAGAAGGGCACTACCAACAAAGACAATCTTGAAGATGCAGAGAGGATTACAAAAAGAAATACATGATTGCATGCATTGATGTTAGAGGGATATGTCTATAGCAGCAAGATAGGCGGACAAATGCAGTGGGAATTCCACCCACATCCAACTGATGTGACTTTTCATCGGAGCCTTTAAACTTAATAACCTAGACCAACACCTTGGTGCCGGTCGCGTGAAAATAAAAGCTACGGATCGTACTTACTTGGTGAAATATCGGCTGTTTGCAAGCCTTAGTTGCGGACGTAAGTTGACCAGTAGATGTCGGTAAATCATCTTCCCAAAACGTTGAGAAGTTGTTTTCTTTGCGTAGTTGCTGCTGGCTGCTGTGGCGGCGGCTGTAAAATCACAAGCAGAAGCTTTTCGGGTCACAGCCCCCATTATGAACCTTACTTCCGGTCAACGCATGTCAATTGTTAACGAAGAGCGCGTGGTTTTAAACAATGAATGAACCTAAATGAACGAATGGGAATGGACTAATGAATCACGTCATTGTTATAGGATGAACGAAAAATAAGTTGAGACAGCTCTGTAAACTGTGCTGTTAAACTATCAGTGACACATTTCAGAATGTTAAAACCGGACGATATTTGAAGAGATTAAAGCTTGTGAAAGGAGCAGGGAAAGGCGAGGAGCGGAACCAGGAGACGGGAATGAAGAAGTGTACCAACAGATATAAACATCAACTCTGGAACAAAACAAGTTGCGATGTACCGCACTGCATAGCAGCTGGAACTGATTGCTTGATCATGACTTAATTATTAATTGCGCAAATATGGCAAGGAAATTGTGTTAATCGTCGATATACTCTTGTGCATTTTTACCAAGCTTAAAAAGCGAGGATTTTGCACAGTGGATAAAATAACCTAGTTGCAGCCGTCGTCATGCCAAAATGCTGTGATAACAGCATTTATTAAAAGCCATTAAAAATTCACCACAAACAGACATCGAAAAGGTAAGGCTTATTATCTGAATTGACGAACAGTAAACTTTTATTACGGGTAGTCGAGATTTTTGTTTGACAGACAACTTCCTCATTCGTGCCTTTGGCGGTTGGACCTTTGTACTCAGAGCTGTTCAAATCTCAACTATTGTTTGTGTTTGCACTAACTATATATGTCGATTGGTGGTTGCATTTACACAATGACTAGTTTATCAACTTTTGCCACTAAGTTGCACTGTCAATTTCTGCTTGTTACAAATAATTGACAGTGTACTGGGCAGGGTGATGGCTTCCACGAGAAATAACTTTTCAGGTCCTAAACATGAATTACAAATCAAGACCAGATAAAGACCATGATTCAGAAAACAGATATGTTAAGAAAACACCTCTATACAGAACAGCTGACAAAAGGACTGGTAACTTTTCGTCCGAAATCGGCTTAGACTCAAGCAATAAGCACCATGATCTAGAAAAGGATGTGTACATTAAAAGTAGAACCTTCCAAAATGTAAGTTTTGCAGTCCTCTCAGTATGAATTTAAGTAGTTTTTTGCAGTCATTGTTTAAATCATGTCTAAATGTATGATCTATATTTTCACTGTCACAGAGTAACTGGAGACAGCCTCTTTCTTGGGAAAAACCCCTGCCTCACTCTGATAATAATGCCCAAGGAATAACAAGAAAAGATATTGCTGCTGCCAATAGTTTGATGCCCCATTTTGGTTCCAAAAAGGAACCAACTTATACCCCTACCATCAAAGGTATGGCCAGCTTTTTCATCTTAAAAGTTTTCAATCAACTAGCTATCATTATCAAATGTCTTCTTTTCAGCGGTTGACAACCTTATTCCAAAATTTACAAATATTGATTTACATGAACGGAATAATGTTACTCCAAATACCCAGAAATCACAGATTCAAGAGCGAAATCGGATTGGTAAGATATTCCTAATTATAGGAGTTATTGATCAATGTCCACCACCACTATATTTTTTATCCTTCTACTTTTCAGTCCTAAATGGATCATCTAGTCCAAGACACAATCCAAGTAATGGCTCAAACTGGAGGAAACCAAGTAAATTTTAAAAACTACAATTTTATCTGTTAATATCCAAGAAACAATTTGTCTTAATAAGTTAACAATTTTATACAGGTTCAAATGACAAAGATCATACTGGTCTTAGTTATCACATCAGACGCAAATTTGATCAAGGGTTTGAACTCTCAGGTGTGATAACAATATCATTGACATTTTATGAACAAAAGCAGTGAGACTTGCCAGTGGTGGTAACTAATATCTGTTTTTCCAGCTGCTGACAAAGAAGTTCTTTCCCAACCCAACAGTCTCCTTGAAATGCTTGGTTCTAAAAGGAGCTTGTATGCTACTATGAATGAGTTAGATTCAAAGACATTGAAAGTGCAAATGGAAGATTTTAGCCGGGAGGAAATGGCGTGTGAGCATCTAAAACAAGAGATGGGTTCACAATTTCCCAACTGTAATGTAATTCCATTTGGCATACGCCTCTTAGGAATGGCACATCCAAATACTGCTATTTACATGTTCTTTGACTCTGGTTTGTCATCATTTTTTGTATCTCAATCAATTCCTAACTGTGGGCAAAGTTTTATTTGGTTCTGTCTTCTAGGAAATAATTATTACCAACCAACAAATGAGACTAAACATATCCAAACTCAAATCCGTAAAATTGTCTTTGAGACAATTAGCAACTGTGGACATTGTGAAAATGTACGTGATTGGGATGTGCAAGAAATGGTTACATTTATGCACTCTGATTCTCAAATGAACTGTGTGGTCACATTTGTGAATGGATTCAGACACCAAAATACACTTCTCTTGAAGTAATTGTATATACTTATTTGTTTCGATGTTATAAACTAGATCAAGCAAATATTTAAACCCTTTTTTCCTTCTCAGATCATATTTGCAAATAGATAAACGGCTCAGGCTGCTTATGCTTCTTATAACAGACATGGTTTATAGATACCATGACATTAGCAAATATTTCACATCGTACGTTTTGAACATAATGGTCATTATGTTCTTGCAAAGGATTGCTGAGCCTATCCTACCCACCCTAAGCAAACTAAGGGAGTCATTTCCCTTTGAAAAGGTTACAATTGGAGGTATTAATTACTATAGTTGTGATATTTCAAAAACTGTAACGACTTTTGATTTATCAGTATGTAATGGTTTTATTGATTGCTTTTCAGGGTTTGAATGTGGATACCCAAAAGACTTCACATTTTCGCCATCCTCGAATCATTTATCAGTTGAAAACCTAGTGAAAGGATTCTGTAACTTTTATAAAAATTTTAATTTTGACGAAGACATTATTTCTATGTTGGGACCAGAGTTGAAACGCTCTATGTTCTGTCCTCCATATGAAATCATTTCAACTACTGAGCCATTGCATTCATATTTAGTTTCCCTTCGAAGTGGGGAAAATGTACCAAAGATGAATTGCAATCTTCCTGTCATTGTGCAAGAGCCTTTTGAACTGAATAACAATGCTGCAGAAAGTAAGTGCTTGCCTTCTAAAATTTTACTTGCTTGCATTCAATATTACTACTCAAATTTATTTGCATTTTCTTTCCACAGAGGTCAACCTGACAGTATTGGAAGTGTTCCAAATGATGTGTCAGGATGCCTGTGATATTTTATCAAAATGGTGTTGAAGGTATCTCATTGATTTGTCAAATAATGTGGATGAAGCCCCTTTGCATGCTTCCAATTTATAGCCCTTCTCTTAAAATTTCAAAATAATTTTTTAATTGCTTATTTTAATTTGATAGTGTGTGTTGGTGTTGAGACATGTCAGAATCTGGGTTTAAGCCAAGAAAAGTTGGTAGGTAGTTGGTATCTATAGCCTATTGTACCTTAGCATGGCAGCTTGTTACATGAATTTCCTTTAGTTGTAAGGGTTAACAATGCTCATAAACCTCCAAGTTCTCTGATTGATTTGTTTTTAAATTGAATGAACTATTAACTGCAACTGATTTACTTTTGTTCTTGTGTTTTGTTTTCTCTATGTATCTCAAATAATAATAATAATGTGAGTGTGTGTGTACCTGTATGTATGTATGTTATGTCATTACAGCTGCTCATATATTAGCACATCCTGTAATTCACACTCGCATGTCAGAACTTTTTTCTGCTATATGTTTTTATCAGGATTTTTTTTTCATGTTTTAATTTGATTGTACTTAATTATTCCCTCAAGTTTTTATTTGCAATGAACTAAATAATATTTTAAATCAACTTATTTGGATATGAAATTTATTTTCATAATCTTTATTGTGACAACTATTTTTAGAAGAGCCCCTTGTATTTTGTATGAATAATCATTAGACTGTCAAAGAACCCTTAAACATATTCAGTCATGTTTACTTGTCTATTGGTTCAATCATTTTTGTTATTGCATCTTTTTCCCCCAATACTCATGTATTAGACACTAAAAGGTACTATTGTATTCTTTTATGTCCTCTCTTTGCCTCAGCTGTGAGAGAACCAATTATTTCTAGGTATCAGCCATTATAATTATATCGGTCTTGCTCCTGTCATATGTATAGCTGATGCTAAATTTTACTGTTGTTTTATTTCTCTCATATCTGATGCATAGGCAAGACCTATCACTGAAAGAGGTAGTGACTCTGTTAGAAGACTGGTTGTATATTGCTTTGTTAATATATCCTATTTTATTATTAATTAGCTATTGCGAGGCCATAGTGCTTGTACACTTGTTACTTCTGGTTTGTATTGAATTATATGATCAATCCTTGTACTTCTATGCATTATTTTGTGGTTGCTGTGGATAAAACTGAAACGTTTCCTTTTTTATTAACAAAGTTTATTCCTCCATTGGGTGTAAGGTCAAAACTATATTTGTACTTAAGTTACATAAAGTTCAAGGCGTTCATGCTGCAACAGAAATTAAGCTCTTGATTCCTGCTGCCAAGCTGTCCTTGTTGACGGGACACTTGTAGTACACCTTCGAACAGTTGCCCCCTTTCCTGCCGGTGTCTACGGCCTGTTTGAAACTCGAACCCTCCAGCATGTATCCGACGAGCGAGTTCCTGTGCAGAGAAAAGGGGGCGCGTTATGCCACGGCCTGCCTCAGTGCCCCATCGTAAGGGAGGACTCAGCAGGACTCACTTGGTGGCCGTGTCGACGACGGACTCGACGCCGCTGGCCTCCCCCGAGGCGGAGCGCGCGGCTGAGGACTGCACGTAGGAGCACACGGCCCTTTGCAGGCACGCCGTCGAGTCGATGTTCTGCTCGGCGAGGGCCGAGTCCACGCGGCTCAGGATGTGGCTCAGGCTGGCCATCACGCCGTCCCCCTCCACCTCGCCTGCAACATCGTCATCTGAGCGCGGCCCGATCTCTGCGAACACAACGCAGTGCGAGATGGGTGTCGAACGTGCGACATCGACCGTCATGTCGCAGCAGTTCGCGAGGGGAGGGCCGATGGCCGATACGGCGGGCGGTGAGACTCACTGCGTTTGTAGCCGTCGTGCGGGTGCGCGGCCAGGCCGTGGATGAGCTTGGGCAGCACCAGGGAGGCGCCCAGGCCGATGAGCGCGCCCAGGAGCACGCCGCCCAGGTCCAGGCGCAACGCGCCGTACGGCCCGGCCGCCGTGCCGTAGGTCGGGTCCTGGGCAGACGGAACATAGAGCTGGCTCTGTGGACCCAACAGTGTACGTGTTCGATCTGCGTGGCTGCAGTGGCGGGGCCGGCGCGGCCTCAGGGCGTTGTCCGCAAGGGTGTGTTTACCTGCACGCCGTTGGCGCTGTAGCCGACGAAGCCGAACCTGGGCTCCTGTGGCCTGCCGTCGGCGGACGCCGCCACGGCCGTGTCCTCGGAGCGGCCCGCCGGCCCCGCGCCCGCGTTGGGCGCCGGGGTGGCCGGCGAGGGGTTGCTGCCCTCCGGGACCTGGTCGGCCGACTCCATGGCCAGCTGGTCTCCCGACTGCTGGTAGTAGCTCACGGGGCTAGGTAGGAAGCCACTGCAAACAGTGAACCGTCACTCACTCCTTGGGAAGGGCGACGGGCGCCAGGGCTACGGGCCGCTAGACACTTACCCGGAGGAGTCGTACTTCTTGGGCACGGCGAGGGCGGCGGGCAGCGCGGCGGCCAGGACCAGCGCAGCCAGGAGCGCGGGCGAGCGGCACATCGGGGACATGGTGGTGCGGGGGGCTGGCTGCAGGGTGACGGAGGGCAGGCGTGCGTTAGTAAATCCTCAGGAGGACCGACCAAGGACGGGCTCCCCGGGCGGGCCGTGGTGCTCACTGCACTTACTTAGCGGGGACTGTGTGTTCTCCAAGGGGTTGCTCGCTCTGCACTCGACACGCACTCACTGCACTCCGGGGGGCGGGACACCTCGCTATATAGTGTAGGCCAGGCAGGCCGGGTTAGACAGGGCGGTTCCGAAGAGGGGGGTCGGCCGCCGCGGTACCGCACGCCCCCGCCACCTCCGCGGGGGGCCCGGCCGTGCGCGCGTGCCCGCGTGCGTGCCCGCACCGTCACGCGCGCTGGCCGCCGCCTCGGCCGCCGCGCCACAGTGGCACATTGTCGTATTGTCTCGCTGAAGCGCTTGCTTTCCTAGGGCCGCCGAGTGCCACACGGACGCAGCACGCCTCTCGGAGATGACATCATGTTGCTCCCGAGTGGGGCGTTTTCTCCCGGTGGCGTAAGAGTGCACGCCTCTATGTCGCGGCGAGGAAGGCAGTGACGGTCCTCTGCGGGGGCCGGGGGGGG